AGCAAAAAGCATTAGTTTGTTTATTTCCTAAATATTTAAAGTTATAAGAGATTTTATAACTTAAATAAATTGTAACTTGCTCTATTTTTCAACTTGGCTTATTAAAACGCTCTTGAGTTTTGCGCTTAATTAAATATTTCCCTGATAAAAAGTCGGAAGTCTATTGAAAAACAAAATAGAAACGAGATTAAAAATATACTTCAAGGCGCATCTTTGTAAGGCGGTACTCGTATTTATTTGTAATTAAAATATAATAAAATGAAATGGATAAAAACTAACTGATATTACAAATGCGAACGTTTGGATGAATGGATGGATGTTTGTTACAAGGTATCTCCAGAACAGCTGTAAGATACCGCTGAAATTTGGCATGACATCACAGCCTTGAAGAACAGATAGACTATTATTTTTTTTTAATTTGTCAGTCTATTAGAATAGAGGCTATCGTTTATTAAAATAATATGATAAATTAAGAACAATAGTGACACACTTTCTTTCAAATTAACTATGAAATAATACCAAAGTTTTTTTTAACAGTGGTAGAGCCCGCTTTAACATCTTCGCACGAATTGTCCCGGCTAGCTCGGTGAAATACCACGACCACACAGAAGACAGGCGTGAAGTGGAGGCAACTCCGCGTTTCGTCTGATGAGTGTGCGTCCCAGAAGCCTAATTTAGTCCTCTTTCCCTTCCCACCCTTTTTCTTATAAGGAAAATATGGGATGAGGAAGTGGACTTTCCGGATGAGAGGATGCATAGAAAGGGAAAATATTTTCTTTCTGTGCATCCTCTCCTCCTTTGATTAAAGGTAGGCAACGCATATGCAATTGCGTATGTCTATGGGCTACAGTCACTTCGCTATTTCAGCGATTTCAGGTGGCCGCTCGCTCGTTTGCCACCTTATGATATAAAAATAAAGTTTGGTTGTATAGATGTTTGTTACAACTTCATAAATACTTGATGTATCTGTAAGAAATTGCAATAAAAAAACATCTTTAAAAAGTTGTTTTAAATAAAAACATGTTGTTGTTAGTTTATATTGGGGTCACAAAAACCATATACATATCGTAACTCATCGTGTTTCCTTTCTAATATTGCTTGCTTTCATTATTTACTAAAGAATCATCAAGCATCGATGGTTCAGTGGTAGAATGCTCGCCTGCCACGCGGGCGGCCCGGGTTCGATTCCCGGTCGATGCATTTTATCTTTTGCTAAGCGTAGTAATAGAACATTGTCATCCCTCTCATTGTCTTTGAAAATAACACAGATCATTTTAACTAAAACTTTTTTCCAACGGTCCCCTTAAAAATTACTGGTTCACCCCTTGCACTTCTATAGTCGATCTAAACTCAATTTGGAAATTGCAGGTTTAACATAAATTATAATCGTTGTTATAATTATACAGCTTAAAAATAAATAAGTTTAGCTTTTAATGTCTTAACCCTTAATTCGACGATTTTTTGTAGCAAAAAAACTGTTTTTTTTTAATAAAGTCATACTTACGTAATTCTCTCTAAACTAGTTCAGTAGATTTTTTTATTAGTTGTTCGTCACACTGGACACCATCGAATTAAGGGTTAACAGAACAATAGTACTCTTGGGAAGTTGGGCACTGGCTACATTGACATCTGTCATATCGAAATGTTTATATAACTATGACTTCAGGGATTACTCGTCGGTTTGTCTTGAAGCAACTGTTTCTCGTCAACTTGTTCACTAACTTGAAACTTTCATAACTTAATAAATTAATAACTATCCAACGTAAATACTAAAATCGTTATAATATGTATCAGCTTTTGCACTCGACTCCGTCCGCGCGTAATTAAGAAAATAACTTAAGTAGTAGCCTATGTGTTCACCTAGACCTAGATGTATGGAAATCCGCTTAACCAGGAGACATATAATAACAAACATTCATCTAAACTTTTTCATTTATAATTTAATGTGATAGCAACATTTTTTACTAGTACTATAAATATTATAACTCTTTGAAAAAAGTACTAAATACGATACAAAATAATGCTATTAAATATTCACTACCAACGGTCTAAAAATGCAAATCTTGCTATGCATTACAAGACCAAATATGATCAGACATAAATAATTGTTTAATTATGCAAATCAAAGCAACAATTTATTCCGTGTGTTGCTAGCATCGTGATTTAGAAAAGCTTAGTGATACTATATTTTTACAGTTTAATTTATAATTTTTACTGCGATGTACAAGCATCGATGGTTCAGTGGTAGAATGCTCGCCTGCCACGCGGGCGGCCCGGGTTCGATTCCCGGTCGATGCAATTATTTTGTAAATAATTCACCTTAACCGTAAAACAAATCTATAAATCGATCCAAGCTCTATTTTTTATTAATATGTTAGCAGATTTTTCTTAATTTACTATTATTTCTTGTACCATTTCAATTAAGGTCTTAGCTTATGCTAGGACATGGTTTACGGCAGTCGAATGATCCCCTATGAACTACTATGAACGTATATAAAAATGAGAGTCGTGTTAGTTGCACTATTTATAACTCAAGAACGGCTTTACCGATATGGTTGAAAATTGGTGAGGAGGTAGCTTAAAGCTAGGAGACGGACATAGGATACTATTTTCTACGAGAGCGAGAGCTAGTTTACAAATAAATGAAGTAAAATTAAGAATCTAGGTTATAAGCCAAAGTAAATGTACACAACATGATTATACAAATGTAGAAAGGATGAAAAGAGCAGATAAAACATTTAAAAAATTAATTATGTGTTCTTAAATTTAAGTTGTTACAATTTTGAGGGTTAAAAAAGGCATGAAAATGAAGGGATGAGAAAAACCAGACATTGTCACTGTAGTATTTTTGAAACAGCCTTTATGAAGACCGCATATTTAGGGTTGAAGATGTCTAGATCGATCGATGTACTATTATATAGACGTCTCATTCTAACAATAGGGTTGTAATAGGAAGTGTTATTTTTATAAGCACACTCCCTATAAAAACATTTAATTCAATTAATCAAACAATAATTCATTTAAAACCACTCTCATAAGTCAGAACTATTATTCATCATCATAATCCGCCTAGATTTATCCGCTGCTGGATGTAGGCCTCCCACATCGATTGCCATAATGCCCAGTCCTGTGCCGCCCTCATCCAGTGCACTCACGCAACCTTGACCAGGTCATCGGTCCATCGGAGGCCTACCTACGCTGCGTCGACCCGTCCGCGGCCGCCACTCTAGGACTTTTTGGCTCATCGGCCGTCCGTTCTGCGGGCAATGTGGCAATACTGTTATTATAAAGATAATATTACAATCAGAAATGTAAAATGTGATAGTTATTTGTTAAAGTTTTTTTGTTGGACTTGGATAAGCAAAAGCTCTGTTAGCCAGAGATATTTTTTGATTCTGACGGGCGACCTCTATAAACTCAATGAAGAGAGAAACCTCTGTAAGTAGAATAATTTCTTATATAAAAAGTATAGGTAGAACTACAATAAACAAATATATTTTATAAAAATACTGCATCGACCGGGAATCGAACCCGGGCCGCCCGCGTGGCAGGCGAGCATTCTACCACTGAACCATCGATGCTTATGCGAGTTAGAATAAAACAAATAATTAAAGCAGAGAATTAAAATATTATAATAATATTAAATGTGACCCACAGGATATTAAGTGAATCAGTTTCTATTGGTAAATTTTATTTATTTTCTTGGAAAAAATGTCTTACAAAATTTATTAAACTTTTCAACTTCAAATTATCTCGCACAATTATAAGCATCGATGGTTCAGTGGTAGAATGCTCGCCTGCCACGCGGGCGGCCCGGGTTCGATTCCCGGTCGATGCAGGTTCTTTTTTCCTCTCATCGTATTGGTATGCTGGTTTTTTGATTTTATTTTACTTGCAAATTTAACATTTTTTCCACAAAAATTTAACTTTTTACTTTGGAAACCTCAACATTTCAAAACATTTTTTTATATCAGAAGTTGAAAACCAAACTTTCTTTTTAGAAGTGAATGACTGAGAATTAAAAAACAGAGACATCTACCGTCACAATGAAGAATGAAGTTGTCAAAAGGCGTTCTAGTTTCGTAGATTAGAATAGTCACAAGATGGTGCTGAGAGATTAACGAAGATAAGTCATTTCTGTAATAACTCTTCTTTAAATTGTCGAGTTCTCACTCTTAGCCACAATCTTCATTCAAAAACTAATCCTCACCCGTCCAAGTTTAGGATATAAGTTTTATAAATACATAAATAATTAATAATAAGTGGAAAGTAAACTATAATTCATATTTGATTAACAATTAAATGAAAAGTTGCCAAATATTGAACATAAAATGGGAGAAACATTCTAAGAATTGCAAAGACAATAATTAATAAAATCTCATCTCAGTTTTCTGTTTGCTATAATTGTTTTGTCTATACCCGTATTCCGTATCTGTACTAGTTCGTACCAAAGAGTATATAAAATAATCGTATTTTACATTACAAATGTCAAAATAACTCTCTCGATGCCAAATAACTGTTGTTTTATGGTGTTATTTTTTCGTAGTTTCGTAAAAAATATGCGTCGAGATTGAGTATTCCGCGATAGTAGCACAAAAATGCGTGCCGAAAGTGATGTGTTTTCGATAAAATACTATGCTTTTCTAGATTTTCTTGCGTTAATCTTCCAAACGTCAAATTGTTTTTATGTTGTTTTGCGTGTTATTTTGTTACAAAACAAGATTAAAGTAAAAGTTTCTTATTAAATATAAATGAAATAATGTTCAGGTTGTCTAGTCAACGATGCAAAAGTTTTAATTTTGTTGAACTTGTTGTGATGTGAAGTGTTGAAAGGTTAGTTTTTGTTCCCGCTTTTATCCCATTTTGGGATACTTGTTCCCGGATCCTTGCTGCGGTTCGGTGAGTAATAGAGAGTAAGTTCTTTTACGAAGGGTTTCCAAATGTTCAAAATTGTATTTGATGTTATTTATGTTGGCAAATTTGTTTAGAAAGTTTTCAAGATGACTGTTAAAGGCTGATGTTTACATAAGATGTTCTATGTGTTACAGACAGAAAAATACTATTCCTAATATACCAAATTATAAAATTGATAAATTTCTATTGGTGGCATAGATTTTTGTTAATGTTTTATCTTGTATAATAAAACAAAACCACTATTATAACCCTTAAAACATGGAGATGAGAAAAATGATATGTGTTGAATTTCATATGGATTCAATTTCAGAAACCAACAAAGATGTCTTTGAATAGGTAAAATTAAACAATATGTACTAATGTGGGTTTGATTCCTGCTGTTATTATAAGGTGTTAAACATATTTGTCATTAAATTTTATTTGAAATAAGTCAGTCGAGTTGTGGACTAATGTGTAGAACATTACAATTTTAATTGTAGTGGTCTACTGATGTAATCATCATCAAGAGTGTTGGTGGCTCAGAGGGTTAAGCACTTGACTTGCAATCTGTATGTCCTGGGTTCGAATCCCGCCATGTACCAATGTGTGTTTTATATTTACTTATGTACATTAATCCTGACTGATGAAATAGCCATCATCAAATACAATAGTAGTGGTCTACTGTTGAAATATATAATGGACGGTGAACCTGAATGTTAAGTGTGATTTTAAAGATGTTCTTCCGTTGAATTTCAAGTTGTATGTATTGGTTGCATTGCTGTTGCATTTATTACACCTGGGTTCGAGTCCCAGTAGAGTTGATAAACAAGTGTTTTGTGTGTGTTTATTTTCTATATTTTTAAAGGTTACTATAGTGTGTTTCTGTTTTATAATATTAATAAACAAAGTAATAGCATAGAACATGTTATTTTCAATGTAACACCTGCCTTTATGTGTTTGGAAATCCTTTCTTATTTTTTTTTATTTTAAATGAAAACCACGGTGCCATTACAATTATAGAAATAATTTTGTTATCAAATGAATTTAATTTCAACATGAAATCAAATTCTATAGGACAAAAAAAGTAATTTTGTGACTCCTGTAAAGTTTGTATGTTTGTGTTTATTAAATAAAGGAAAAAACAGTATAATCAGTTGCTAAATAAACTATTTGAAATGTTTGGTCTAATTATTTACCTTGCCTTCTCCTTATCCCATACCTTTATGGTACTTATTTTATATATAAAGAAAGTGTGTACCATTTTAATTTATCGCTATTAAATATTAAATTTATGTTATTTTAAACCAAAGCACTTTTTAAAAATGGTTTAAAATGGCATAATAATAAATCATTGTAAGCAAATTTGTGTTTTATTTAATAAAGTACAAGGTTAATTTTTGGTTATGCTCATCAGTTCCAGCGCAGTTCATACCGGGCAGGACTGGAGCTGGCTTGCTTATATTAAATGGATTCACATTCTATATGAAGAATCATCAAGCTCATGGCAAAAAGCAGTGGTACTGTTCATCACGAGATGTCTACGGCTGCCGGGCTGATGTTATCACCTACAGAGGCTTCGATGGCAGAGACTACATTTCAATATTTCGTGGCAGACACATCCATAATCCTCCCCGTTTGCGACAATGTCATGACGGTAGATTTATAAGAGAAAAAGATTTATTTTGGAGACAATCTCTCAAGTGATTACTTATATTATGAAATGTTTTATTTGGTACTTTGTATAGATTTATTTTTCTTAATCATGATGTACTTAAGATTTTATGTATTGAAAAGTCTTACAGAAAGCATGTTTCTGCTTTAGGGAACTGCTTGTTTATAAATGGACTGTCATTTTTTTTTTATCGTGTACATTTTAGAATACAATATTCTGGTAAGGTGATTGTTTTCATTCTATTAACTGTGCCTGTTAGATATTGTCAAGTACAAATTATATATTAAAAAAAAATCAAATTTTATAAAAAAAAACTCTTTGAGTTTATCCGAGCTTTGTTACTTTATTTTTGTAAGTCCTCTATTCTAGTTTTTTTTTTATATCTAATTTTGTAATTAAATTATCTTTGTATTTATTTAAACTACAAGTACCCTCATTTTCTTTATATAGAAAATTGAGGGTAGTTCAATAGAATTATACATAATTAAAAAAATTTAAAAGATCAGGTAATAAATGAGTTTTGTTTACAGGAATTTATTACCTACCATCACACCGTACGGGAAGTATGGTATTGATATTCAAAGACAACAAATATTGGATCAATAATAGATATCAGAATACTATAAATTGGACATGTCGGGATAGGAAAAGATTGGGATGCAACAGCTGCGTGCAAACAACAGTTGAAGGACGTTACATCAAACATAAAGGCTTCCATAATCATGCTGACAATTATACAAAATATAATTTCAATGATTAAGATGTTTGCTAGTTACTTCAATGTTTCAACAAATTAACCAATACTATGAAAAGAGTTGTAACTTTTATAACTCCTTGGGAGATAAAACTCTTTTCCTCGGATTCTTTGAGACAAGTCTGTATAATACTAGCAGTAGAAAAATTTTGTTTATAGCAATAAGATTCTAATTGATATCTGTTACTCGTATTGAAACCGGTTTCAAAATAATCAGCTACTTAATACATAGCTTGCTTAAAATATAATATGGTTAAAATTATTTATTTGTATAGTTATAGTAAATCAATTTTTTTTCCATTAACATAGGCATAATTTTTCAAAGTCATTCCTAGATATTAGTAAATTTAAGATTGTTTTTTTTTATTTAAGTTACAGTCGGTTTGGTTTTTATACAATTCTTAAACTATCACTGCCATTTTTTTAAGTTATTTATAATCATAATTGTTAACTTAAATTGTAACTTGAATTCTTTAGCTTAATTATTTATTATTTTAGTCAATTCTATTTTATGTAATGAAAAAGTATTTCGAATAACTTATTTGTAAGTTATATACTATTTCTTAATCTTTAATAATTCAAAAATAAAGGTGAATATTATGGATAATATCAAATATAGCAGAAATATAAAAAAAAATTCTTAGTAAAAAAATTATTAAATTTCTTAGGCGACTTAAAAAATATACTTAAAAAGACAAAGATTTCTGTGTTTATTATATAATTGTTGTTTATATTTTAATTTTCACATAGGTTTTCCACTATCTTAACACAGACCTCTGTATAAATCGTTGGACGGGTTGCTGCTTGGAAATGACAGCTTTAAATTTGTTTCAATTTGAAAGTGTCAGTTGAAGTTACTGTCGGTTCACTTTATTATACTATTCGTTTGAGTTTCCAACATTGCTACCGTCAGCGTCAAAATGGCGAAATTCAAATAGGCACAAAATACCATGTCTTACAGCCATCGGTATAAAAAGGTCAGTGCCGGACACATACAAAAATAGTTTTGTTCCTCTTTCTATTGGAGAGAGAGAAGACAATGTATTTGTATGGTTGTTTTGAACAGTTGAAACCCACGGTTAAACTTAAACTCTAGTTACTTAATAGTAAACTTAATAGTGCTGTGAAAATACTTACTTTTTAGTTCTAATTATTTTTATCTATAGTAAAATGTTGTATATAACATATATAGAAGTGTATAAAAAATACATAAAAGACATTATGATTTTTATTGGTACGTAAATTAATTTTCATTTTTAATTATATACTTGTATACATTATGTAAAATACTTGATTTATTATCTTATATTTTTAATACGAATATAATAAACTTAAGTATTTAAAAGTATTTATGTTTTGTTGTAAGATTACTTACTTACAGTTTCCACTGTAGATGTACTAAGCACGAAAACATGTAATCACTGCATACATATTATTGTTTTGTGCAGTGGAAACCCACTTTAATTGCTTAGTTATATTTATAAAGGTCAATGGATGCTGCGAAATCAAACATAAAAAATGTAAAAAAAATGTTTTATCCTATAAAGGTACGCGTGCTTTGGCCCGCGTCGGACGCACCGTTCGGATTAAACGATTTTGCGATGTCTTGATGCGATGCGGACGGCGCGGATGATGGACGCAGCGCTATTTAAATCATATAACGCAAACTAAAATTCGTTGTCCATGCGGTGCGTCCGGCACGGGACAATGGACGCGTACCTTTACATTTCAATAAAGTAAAAAAATGTAAAAAAATATCTACGTAGGTCGTGATTTATCACATAGATGGCGTTAGTTGTTTGGTAGTGGGTTTGAAAAATATAATTATTTAGGAAAAATTATAATCAATTTATAAATTAAGCACGTGATAATTTTACAATTTTTTTCCATTTTTTATTCCCGAAACTTATTGATAATCTGCATATGACCTAGTCACGTAATATTTATTCTCTTCGTAATATGTGCCAAATCGTATACTTAATGTGATTCTAATCGTTTTATTTTTGAAATTGTATAATTTTCTTTAAATCGCACGTGTTTCATTCCTTATTAAAGACATTGATGTAATTTTTTTTTATTTTATGAAACAGTACAAACATAAAGTACTTTAAAAGATCAAGGATAGTTTGCATCAATATACCGACTAAGTTATTACAGTTATCCATTCGTGGGTACTTCGAATGGATACGGATATCATCAAACATTATCCTACGGAAGGTCGGCACAGTATGTACTACTCCATACATTTCTATCAGCCGTCATATCTGAATTCACCTTCTTACGCATATCCTCTTTCACACAATCCATACTTTCTTTGGTATTCCTATACCTTTGTAGCCATCCACATTCAAGTACTTTTTGTTTATGTGATTACGATACTCAAATACAAGATCACAGTTCACCTAACTTTCATCATCATCAGCTCACTATAGGTCCCCAACGAGGGGATCGGAGCCTACCCTAAGTTAGGGGTGACTAGGCCATAGTCAAACACTCTTTGAATTTCTTCTCGGATATGTGCAGGTTGCATCACGATGTTTTCCTTTACCGTAAGAACGTCGGATAAATTTACATATGTAAATCGAAGATCGTAAAACACGTTGGTACATGTCGGTATTCGAACCCAGGACCTGCGGATTACAAATCAAGTGCTTAAACCCCTAAGCCATCAACGCTCTGACCTAACTTTATATACACATAACAGCAAAATTTATTTAACTATAATAAAACGATGATAAATATGTATTATTTGTTTCAGCGATATACATAACAACGGCCCATAATATTAAATTGGTATTATATAACGGATATACTTACGCTAAGCATTACCAAGTTAGAGGTGGTGTTAGATGGAAATGTTCGAAGCAATCCTCCACTGGTTGTAACGCTTATGTACTTATCAATCACCTTGGCAACATAGAGAGAAAAAACGAAGAACATACACACGCACCGACTAAATATCATCGCGATAAAGATGGGAGATATATAAGAGTCTAAGTTTTATTGTCGTGGAATTAAATTCACTTTCCACTATATTGTACGAAGAACTACTATAAGAGTTGTAGTTTAGTATGTACATATACATAGATTAGGTAACTCAATGTCATCTGTGAATATTTACAGTGTTATTTTATTTTATTGATATTAAATTTTATTGTAAGATAATTAGAAGTCTCTTATTTGGTTACCTAATTTCAACTCTTCTATATCTTACTATATAATATAAATACGAATGTTTAGATGTATGTGTAATGTACGCATAAACGTAGTGTTGTTTGTCTCGCCAAAGAGAGGGGACGTCAGTCGATGTCAGACCTTTGGACCGGTAACACGTGTCGGTACGTGAACGAGCCAAATATAACACAACGAATGCTATACGAAACTTCCTGCCTCGCACAGCAGCGTTGTGGGATGGTTTGTCCTCGGCGGTATTTCCAAACCGCTACGACTTAGGGTCCTTCAAGAAGCGAGCTTATCACCACCTCAAAGGCCGGCAACGCATCTGCGGTTCCTCTGGTATTGCTGATGTCCATGGGTGTCGTTGAACACCTCGGTGTTCCCGCTGCTCGTTTGCCCCCGTCTGTTATAAAAAAAAATATGGCACAGATGTATGACATAGTCTGGAAGAACACATTGGAGCCGATTCCGAGATTCCAATTATATAATATATATATATATCCAGACTATGTCATACATCTGTGCCATATTTTTTTTAAGCAAATGAGCAATTCTTGTATATATATATACACAAGAATTGCTCATTTAAAGATATAAGATAAGATTAAATATCGTCCACATGACAAAAAAAACACTTTCAGATCGATTAACGTACGCATAATTTGTTTTCAGTACAATTCATCAAGACGAATAGAGACAAAGTTTTGGCAATGTATCACGACTTTACGTACTTTAAACAGTACCAGGTCAAAAAGGGCGCTAGATGGCAGTGTACGAAGCATTTCTCACGTAGTTGCAATTCTTATCTTGTAATTGACGACAATGGCAATATATTAAGAATGAACGAGAACCACACACATCAACCATCGCGGTACCATCGGAGTCCGTGCGGATTATATACTAGGGTATGGTAAACAACTGAATGTCCGAGATTCTTTGTACAAAGTTATTTAGAGAATGTTGTACTTCAAAAGGCCACTATGAGTGATATATAAAAACGGCTAAACACTCACGTATCGTCCGGGGGCGGCACCGACTAGTTTCGAGCCCATCGGGGGCCCTTCATCAGGATGAGTGTTTAGCCGTGTTTATATATCAGTTTAGTATAATGTCTCACGAAAGTTTGAATAATTTAATAGCAGGCCACTATGAGAGTATTTAGCGATCTAATTGCATTGTAAGGATTTAAGATAATTAATAAATATATACGAAATGTTAGTATTATATTATATATAATTACCTCTTCTATTCTATTCAAGAAAAAAAAATGTTTTAATTATACGTATGTGTAAAATAACGTATTAATGAGTTTTAGTTTCTATTATAATAAAGTATCGTATTTCTTTATGTTTTATTCGTTTTTTTCAAACCTAATATTTAGTTAATGAAAATCTGTTAATTATCTGGTTTCTATTACTCTTTGTATATATTCTTAAAAGACGGTTAAGTTTTAGATATAATAAAAATGCTTCCCATTGTTTTGCCTGTATATGTTATGTAGCAGTTGTAGCTATATAGAAAAACTAGCTGTTGTCCGCGACTCCGTCCGCGCGGAATTAAAAATAGATGTTGGCCGATTCTCAGACCTACACAAATATGCTCACAAAATTTCATGAGAATCGGTCAAGCCGTATCGGAGGAGTATGGGAACGAAAATTGTGACACGAGAATTTTGTATATAAGATAAATATGTTTAGCAGCAATTTCAACTTTATTACACGATGAAAGATGAAAGTTTACCAACAACTAGGATGGCTATCTAATGTTTCAGCTCAATTTATAAAATTCAACGTGTCCCAGTTCAACTAAATCTCTGTGTTCCAGTTAAATTTATTCAAACAAAGGCGGCTAAGACGCTGGCGATGTTAAAAGGGTACACATATTTCAAGCATGTTAAGTTAAGTTGTGGTGTTCGATGGACATGTTGCTGTCATACGTCGAAGAAGTGCAAAGCAGCTTTGGTACTCGCCAAGAGCGGTGAAGTTATCAAAAGTAACGAGGCACACACACATGAACCTAGGCGTTACCAATGTAATGATAAAGGATTCTACTATAAAGTGGACTAGGCCAATACTTTGGTTTCACGAAAGACTTGACAGGGATGTACGTTGGCAGGTTCCAAGTTGAAAAATAGCAACACGGGGTACACCGAATCTAGTAAAACTGAGAGCGGACTACGAGGAAAATATTACGAATTGTAGTACGAAATATCTATATTTATTATATTAATCAAAAGATTCTCCAATTCTGTAAAATGTTTGATATACATGAAAATATTAAATTCTATTTGTTATGTAATAAATATCACTATCATAAATGATTTTAATAGTTTGTTATAATTGCACAAACCAAAGCAATATACAATATAAACATACCAAGGAAGATATAGCCTTTATGTAGGACAATTCGAACCTTTCTTTTAGCACGGAGACTCTACGAGGACAGAGATAATGACGGACTCACATCGACTGAAACACCCAGGAATACTAAACAAATATCAGTGATTTTAAATGTTTATAGGTAAACTGAAGTACCAAAGTTCTCTCCTCTTAGTTAATTATGCCAACGAAACAAAGACATCTTATATCTTTAAATAGATCTTTAGCTATCATATTAATATATTAGTTTTAAAATTATAATCTGATATTTGGATAATACGTATAAAATTTTCCAGTCCTCATGGTCAAAGGTCGACATGGAAAATATCTTTTAATGTTTAATGGCTATACATACTACCAGCATAAGACGTTGAGAGATGGATATCGTTGGAGCTGCACACAAATGGGTTCCAGATCATGTAGAGCATTCCTCCATGTTACCAAAGAGAAGTTGGTGATACGTGCCCATACAGACCACACACATCCACCGTCAACTTACTCCTTTGAAAGTACCAAGACAAGGGACAATGTATGTATATTACTAACTTTCTTTTGGTTTCAGTAGCTTTTCGTAATTATTAAATGTGTCGTGTTTTCTTTTGTTTTTGTTTTGTTTTAATTGCTTCTATGAATTCTCCTTTACCTTTACGTTTAATGATTCTCCAAACGTATTTGCTTTTTCCAAATTGTCTTTCTCAACTTTATCATGTTCTAAAACAAGACGATCGAAACGACTATCAATATTCTGTTTTTATTTTGCATAAGTTAGTTTCGTATCGTTTTATTATAATTTATGAATTGCCACCAATTTAGATTTGACGATGTGAGAAATGTATTTTTAATTCCAGGAAAGAAAAAATTGTACGAAACGAAATTTAGACCTATCATTCAAGATAGAAAATATTCAAGGGCACGTAGGATTTTAGAAAATGAAAATGTGTGAATTAGATGAAAATGCCATTTACTTAATCCATATAATAGAAAGTATTAGGGAATCTGAGATTAAGGTTTATTATATAAATGTAATGAAAAAATATCAGGAAACGCATCAAATATACAACAAACGGAACCCATTTAATTGATTGAAAGACACAAAGATGTTTTGATGTTTAATGAATCCGACAACAGATGTTTGAATCTCAAAGAAATAGACATAAATCAGTATAAAGCTTAGGTCAATTAGCCTTAAAGTTAACTAATGGATTACACATTCAAATTAAAGACTGATTTTTACTGACTGACAATCAGAAAATCAATTAACACAATACACAACTGCTTAGAAAATCATGCCTTAATTTATACAAAGCCTTGTAACTAATAAAAAAATGTAACTAAGAAGTTCAATCATTAAAAATTACTACTACCCTACCTGCTTACTAATTTTGTATTCAATCATCTTATAGGAATTTGATAATTTATATCGATATACTAAAAAGCAATAATTAATATAAATTATTAAGTAATGATTAAGCGTTTCATTTCTTTCATTATTTCATGATTATCTTCGATCATCTCATTCTTTGCATTCTATCTGTTTTAAAATGTTCTACTATTTTCTTATGCTTATTTGTATTTCTCGTTTATCTTCACCATTCTCTAAAGTTTTCATTTCTTCTCTAACCAGTTGAGTTTTACCTGCGTCCGAGTGGAAGGATCAATCTACGCTTGAACGAATTTACATTCTACCAACATTTGAAAGCAAGATCTAACGCTCATCGCTGGAGCTGCACTGCGTACGGTTCAAAATGGAAATGCAAGGCCCATCTCATCATAACTGATAAACTCGAAGTACTCAAAGCTAATCTTATTCATAGTCATCCTCCACGAAATAAAAAATCATTCCATAAACCAATATTCACAATGAGAAAAGGTGAAATGGATAAAGATGAGAACGCACCAGTTCCTGTAATAGGTGATATGCATACAGTTGCCTCTTTGCACGATTATTTTATGGCACACAGTGTATTTAATAACTATTAGATTTAAACGAATTTCTGATTTCCTAATTATTAAAGTAATGTATTACTTAAGATATTTTAAAGACAGTTTTGTCGCTGAACTTTAGTTTTAAATTAGATCTATACATATCACTCGATAGGCTATCTAATGATGGTCGTGGTCTCATATTTCGCACAAATTTGCATTCAAATATTCCTAATCTAGAAAACGTGATTTAATATAATTTTTAAGTTGTGACCAGAATGATTTTGATACCAGTTTTTTAAAAAGTGCCTTCTTTACAATGTATATTTGTGTCCTCTAATAGAATAAGTTTTTTAAGGCTGTATCATTAAGGTTAGTGCATTCAGACATAATAGTGATGGTAGATGAATATTTTTCTACTCCAAAATGCTTTAGGCAGCTGAACTAAGATGTGTTTACTATTGAAGAGGCTAAGTGGGAGGTGGAAGTGGTTTGTCTTGTTGGATACAAGTGCATTTCAAATATATTTTCTCTAATTACCATGTGGCTTTTAGCCAGATGTCTGTATTTCAATTATATTTTCTCTAATTACCATGTTGCTTTTAGCCAGATGTCTGTGAGTTATGACCATAGTTGTTTAAGATGGTGTGATAAATACGTTTCGAGACGTGTCCCAGTATTATATTGTGATGGTGATTTTTTTAATTAAGACTGCTTGCTTCATGTATGCGATTATTCATCTCATATGTGTCGGATCTCTTTTATATTGTTTTTATATAATTTACAGTATTAATAATGAGTATTCAATGTGTGGTCTCTTAGATGTATTGACGTATTCACTATGATTGTATTACTTGCATTTACTTTTATAAAATATACATGTAACACTAGACAATCTTTGTATTTTCCTTATGTTTGTTTAACCCTAAGAAAGGTAAGATTTTACGCAATGTTAGTTTGTATGTCCAGTACCCTTGCCGCAGCAAAAGCTAAAGAATTATTATTCGTTTTCTACATTTTGTGATACTTGTGTAACTATACTTGAAGCTTAATATTATTAGGTGTAGCAAAACCTAAATTATAGTTGAAATCGACACAATTGGGGTACAATCATCTTGATGCTAATTTAGGATATACGATATATATCAAATCAAAGAAACTTTAAAACGACACACGAACGCTCTCGATCACGCCATTGAGAAACGTACGTCTGGATAAATTAGATTATTTCCCTACTTCAACAAGCAGACAGCGTTGCAAAGTACCGGACAGCAAAGCAATATCCTTTGTACTATTTAATTTATAACTATAAGTAGCATGATTAGCAATCAAGATTCCATTTAAATCTTACTAAAATTATAAATGCGAATGTTTGGATGGATGTTGAACAGATCTCGGTGAAATTTGGCATATGGACATAGTCTGGAAGAACACATAGGTGACTAAATATGTTTTTTTTTAATTCTGCGCGGACGGAGTCGCGTGCGACCGCTAGTATTATATCTTTTGAATTTACTGAATTTAAATTTGGTATTTTTATCAGGTGAAATAATAACTTTCACAAATGGTAAGAAAGGATTGCTGTATGACAGTTATACGTTCACGAAGAAACAACTATTGAAGAACAAAACACGATGGGTGTGTTCTCGAAGTGGCGTATGCTCGATGTATCTTCATACTGATGATCACCTTAATATCATAAAAGTAGCTGAACAAGGACACTCGCATCCACCTTCCAAAATAGTGAAAATCAAGAGTGGGAAGTACGTCAGAATTAAATAGGAATCAGCAGTATTTTTATTACTTCGCTGTTTTTAAGTATTAGATTAAAGACATTCGTTCGTAAAAAGTTGTTTCAGCTAATTATGATCAAGTCTTATTACGATTTCAACAAGATGAAAATGCACCAGTAAGAGAATGAAAGTAGTTTCTGTCTCCTTTGGGTGTTTTAGTGCGGAGTCCCAGTAATTTTGGTGATCCCAGAAATCTCGGGGTTCAAATTTTTATTTGTTCCAAAAGAATTAGCATGTGTGTGCTACAACTTTCGCTGTGTTACTTTCCTAGTCTAACTACAGTAGTAATGTGTGTTAATACAGTCAAATTGAAATTGAATACAGAAAAATGAATTAGCGAGAATCCTATGGATCGCGATATTTTTTCTCTTATACAGGTTTCTCTGAAACTTGAGTTTCTCGCTTATAGCTCGTCTGTCTGGATTGGACGAATGGAACTGGAGGTTTACTGCTTATCCAACATCGACTGTATTTTTTTTAATTTGTTAACAGTAAAATAAATGTTTTTCTTTTTTTTAAGGTCATTTGATAACTTACACCACTGGCAAGAAAGCATTTTTATACAAAGGTTATACGTTTTACAAGAGAAACAAGGTAAAATCAAAAGCAACGAGATGGGTCTGTACCAAATCAAATATATGCTCGACATATATTCATGTCGACGATTTGTATAACGTAATCAAGTCGTCAGATGTCGAACATACACATCCAGCACCAAAACTTTGGCAGAATCCAGAAGGAAAGTATGTCAAAGCTTTTTAACGGATTAAATAAATATTAGAAATAAAAAAATAAGCTAAAACGTTAAGTAGAAGAAATATGTATCAGAGCTATTTCAGTTTATCCTCGGTATTTTCACCCGACTCAGAACGACTGCCAAAATTACGTGTGGCGGACGAAATAACCGTTGATTTCCACTGCCGAAGGATCCGTAAGAAACATAATGTCTTTGACAAAATTAAAAATGACATTTTTTAATAGTTGCTGTACCAAAACTCACTGTCATTTTGCGTATTTCTGTTTTGTATATGGAATACTAAGCATTTCTATTTATTGTAAGATCTCTTATGTATTATTTTAAAATAAACTTACATAACATAAACAAGTTTTAATTCCTTCACATAACATAAATCCCTTCTTCATCATTTTTTTTCTGCATTCAATAAATGTTTGGTATTTTTTTAGGAGATTTGATAGCTCTGCCTAACGGGAGGAAATTGATAATGTTTAATAAGTATACATATTATAATATCGGATTATTGAAGGGTAGCTTCAAGGGGAATTGTACAGTCAAATCTTGCCAATCCTACCTCATGGTGTCTTCTAACTTGGATATAGAGAAAGCTGTACAGAAACACAATCACGTACCTCCTAAATATAAAGTGCTGGTTAAAAAGACCTCTGATAACAATTGTCTATCGAAAAATAAAAGTTCTTAATATAAATTTAAACTTTAATAAATGTTTTTTTTTAAATTAAATAGGTGTTTTTTTAATTTTTGACAAAGTTTTTTATGGTGTAGTTCTTTGACCATATACTTAATTACTCTTATTAGAAAGAAAAATTAAGTAAGTGTTTTTTACAGTATAATTAAAAAATCTTTGTATATTATATTTATAACAGCCTGTATAATATTTCAGTAAATATTTTTATGACGTCACGTGGCAAGGAGCGATTGATCTACCACAATTTCACGTACTACAAACAGAGTAGAACTCGCAGCGGCTTCAGATGGGGCTGTACGAAGAATAGATGGCACAAATGCAAGGCTTATCTCCATTTAGCTGATGATATGACTATCGTAAGGAGTAACATGGAACATACTCATAGCCCCTTTGGTACACCATCACGGAAGAAAGGACGCAGTAAACAAATCAACTCACGCTTGTAATCCAAAGACGGACTACGATACTACGGAGTTCCATTTGACATGGTCCTAGTCTATACTTTTTCATCACTTTAGTAAATAACAATGCATTTATAATTACCAAAGATTTTATAAAGCTATGTTTAGTGAATTTAGGTAGACATTTTAATTTTATTATACGATGCATACACAAGTAAGTAACTGTCCCACCTATGTAAATATACACAGAACAGTGGGCAAGTAAAGCACTAACGTCTTATATTAGTAATGAAGATATATTAAAGAGGTTATGTTATATATTTAAAAGTGTTAGAGCCCGCTTTAACATCTTCGCACGAATTGGCCCGGCTCGCCCGGTGAAATACCCCGACCACACAGAAGACAGGCGTCAAGTGGGAGCAATTCCGCGTTTCGTCTGATGAGTGTGCGTCCCGGAGGCCTAATTTAGTCCTCTTTCCCTTTCCACCTTTTTCCTTATAAGGAAAGGATGGGAAGTGGAAGTGGACTTTCCGGATGAGAGGATGCATGGGGAGGGAAAATATTTTCTTTCTGTGCATCCTCTCCTCTGTCGATTAAAGGTAGGCAACGCATATGAAATTGCGTATGTCTATGGGCAACGGTCACTTCGCTATTTCAGCTATTTCAGGTGGCCGCTCGCTCGTTTGCCACCTTATGAAATAAAAAAAATCAGTCAATATAATAATAATAATAAAGAAAAACACACATACACTGTTCGTTTTAGCATTACCAAC